ATATATATATATATATATATTATTCAAATGTATTCCATAATAGCCAAAAATTAGATAGATAGATAGATAGATGTACTATAATTGTTTGAACGCTCCTATTTAGTTTCAGTGTCTAGAAAAAAGCTCTCTAAATAAAATAATTATTATTATACAGAATTTATTTAGCGCCAACAGTTTGCGCAGCGCTTTACAATATAAGGACGAAATTACAATCACAATACAATTCAAGACAAGATAGTAAGGAGGGCCTACAATCAAAGTCAGGTAATCCTGGATCTATAATACCAAAATGAATATAAAATACAAAACCAAAATGAGTGTTATGCAAATGTATACACGTGCTCCTGTGTACAATCTTGATAAAACATCAAGGTCCAAAATCAACTCTATCAAAGTGCATTTAGTGCAATCCATAAAACTGCAAATATGCTTCAGTGATAACCAATAATGGTCAATATAATTCATAAAATTGTGCAACTGTCCATCTCATGTGATCTGGGAAGCCAAGCAGGGCCAGGCTTGGTTAACACTTGGAAGGGAGATTGCCTGAATAGGGCTTGAATAAGAATATTTTTTCTGGTTTTATTAATGCTTGGGGGTGACACAACTATTATGATGATGCAGCTTATGGTGCATGTGGATTTGTTTTTTTAGGCTCTTTTCTATTGGGTGTCACACTTCCCTGTGCCATGATCCGGAGCCGGGTTTTGTCTCCTGTTCAAGGTGCTCGGCTCCCTGCCAATCCAAGCTGAACCTCAGTGTTAAATGTTTAGCTCACTTGTCACTGATGTTCAAGCAACAAGTTGTTACCGGACCTCCTATGTACCTGTGGATTGACATTTACCTACTTTGTTGTTTGTATTTCCTGTGATATCCTTGTGCACCCTGTGAGATCCTGCTTCCTGTGAGTCTGCCTTCCTCCTGTGTGGCTGTTTGTCCGTGCAGCCTCGCTCCTCTGTTATCACGGATAGCTCTGTTTTGTGGTTTGCCTCCTGCTTCCTGTGGCTATTTTGCTCTGCACTATACTGCACCTCCCTCCTTTTTCCTATGCATTCTCCTCTGCTGTTCCTGTGTATCTGTTGTCCCTGTGGGTACACCTGTTGTGTGTTCCCTTCTGTTATCTGCTCCTTGTGTCACGTATGTTCCATGCGTCTTCTCTCTAGTGCCTCTTTTCTGTACCTTGCATACCGTCGCTCGCTCACTTCTCGATCATCTCCCTGCAGAGAGCCGTGACTGTCACTCACGGCTCCCTGCAGGGATTCCCTCCCTCTCCGATCCTCCAGAGCTGACTGGAGGAACGGACGGGGGAGGGGGCGGGTACAGCTGGCTCTGCTTCTAGATAGGCAGAGCCAGCTGTCACTCATGCAGCTGGTAGGATCTTGACAGTAATGTCGGGATCTGTCCCGGCTGCGGCGGTCTCGGTATACCGCGAGCTGTAGCTTGCGATATACTGAGCTTTGGGTCACGGGAGGGCACTAGTATATGTCCTCCCGTGACCCTTAAGAGAACTATGGGGAAAAACACTTACCCCATAGTTCTCTTTATATATGCCTTTATTGTCTGGAACTGAATGCAGGCAAAGTGTTTCCATGTTCCAAGTGCTGCCCCCTATCTTTGAGAGAGAACAAAAATGGTACACAGCCCAGAATCATGTAACAATTCTTTCCTACATTAAACACACCCTTACAAGCTTTGTTTGCGATCTAAATATATCTTAACAGTCACATAGACATAAGGAAATGCAGTGGAAAGTTCCATAATTACATGATTGATGTATGGACAGATCCTCTTATTACGAAACTAATCATATCCCTACTAATATACTTGCCATCATGCTTGGCAAGAAAAACAAGGGCACACCTAACGAGTTCTGGTCACAGGGTCCAATTCTAAAAAGCAAAAGGTAGAAGGGACATGGCTGCTCATATCTGATCTCTGCTAAGCACGGATAGTTGAGACTTGGGCTATGCTTACATTGTATAACCTCATCTTAGAGAACGAAACAGCTTTGCCAACAGCATCTATAGAGCACTTTTTATTTAATATAAAAATAAAATCATCAGTTTTGAATCGCCTAATCCTGCAGTGACCCAGAAAGTTGGATGATCAGAACAGTTTCTTGCTAGTTCAGCACTTCCCCCGAGATTCTAAGACTTTCCCAGGCCAGTTGCAATATTCACTGAGAAGTTCCTCATACAAGGTAAATAAACACATGGATGAACTTTACTCTGTAAGATCTGAAGACACTGATAGTGGAAATAGTTCCGGAGGTGGTGTTCACAGCGAGGCCAGCGTTGGGCCACCAGATAAGCCAGATAGACTCATTGTGGAGACACCAATTGGGACTTCTTTCCAAAGACCTACAGGGCTATTCACAAGAGGGTAAAGGATTTGGCAGGAGAAGTGAACAATCTAGGACAACATAGCTGAACTGGGAAATGAGCTGAATTGGAGAATTGCCTTCTCCAAACTCTTCACCCTTTTGTGGATAATCCTATATGTCATGGTGTTTGTAAGGGTAGGGCGTCAGTTACATGGTTCTGTAATTATAACACTGAGTGAGAAATGTAACGCTCATGACCTATGAGTCCTGTGAGTTAATCTGGTTTTACACTGGTAGATTTTTTTTAAACATTCCGGCAAAAATCAGAACATTCTCCAATGCGATCAGAGACTTGAACAAAGTCGTTCCAAATGTCTTTTGGTTGTAACATTGACAGGGTTGTTCACAAAAAGGTGAAGAGTTTGGAGAAGGCAGGAAAAGGGAAGAATCTAGGCCAAAATAGCTGATTTGGAAAAATTCTCCAATTCAGCTCACTTTCCAGTTCAGCTATGTTGTCCTAGATTGTTCACTTCTCCTGCCTTCTCCAAACTCTTCACCCTTTTGTGAATAGACCATGTTAGTTTTGGAATAAATGCAGTTTCCTGGAGGAAAACCATATTCACTGTTAAAATTCCATTTGTTTGCAAAACATTTTCCATCCTGCCCCTTTGATATTTTTTTTCCGTCACTACAGTCGAAAAACGATTTTCGATTTGACACCATTAACTATTACAAACTCAAAAGAACAGTATCAAAATGCTTCTAGTGTATGGCCATCTCTAGAAAGTATGATGCTGTGAGTATGATTCATAAAATCCCATGAATCTGTTTAGTAATGCTAATAAGTTACCTGTTAAACAAGTCGCACGGCTGCATTGCAGGCAGAATGTTAGAACAATATGTTGTGCAGAAAGGTGTGACACAGGAACTACAACAAAAACTCATTTGACATTCATTTCTCTGAAAAACATTGGTTTTAAAAGTGTTATCTAACAGAAAATATATGGAATGCAGCAATAATCTGGAATTGCTTACAAAATTATTAGTGAATTCTGAACAACTTAGAGCTCGTTCAGTCTGTTGCAGTGCGTTACCGCATGCATATCAGTAACACACTGTGGTATTTTGCATGTTAACGTGCATTACATTATGACAGCCCATTCATTTTGAATGGGTTGACAGTTCACCACAATGCATATTTTAACACACACATGGTTCACAACTGTGTGTCACTAAAATGCAAGTGCAATGCCGCTGCTGCCCTCTGTGAACAACCAGCACTTGGAACTGCCCTTTTTTACTAAGGGCTAAGAGAGAAATCTATTGTCTATTGTGTGCTGGAAACGGCATTTGTTATAATCTTTTACTTAACAGAGCAGCACAGTGGCTTAGTGGTTAGTACTTCTGCCTTGCAGTACTGGGGATCCCTGGTTTAAATCTTGGTCAGGCTGCTATCTGCAAGGAGTTTGCAAGTTTTCCCTATGCTTGCACAGGTTTCCTCTCACACTCCAAAGACATGTCGTATGCGGTACCTCTTGCTCGGGGTGAGGCATTCCCCAGCCCCGCCGACCGAAGTTCTGCCTCCTGTCGGCCAAAGTTCCGCCTCCTGTCGACCGAAGCCCCGTCCCCAAGTTAGTGTAAGGGAGGAGACAGGGAGGAGCCTCCCTGTCTTTCATTTGTTCCTCACCGCTGAGGCTCCGTGACAGGTTACACAGCGGAGAGGACTTCCCTGCTGTGTAACCTATTAGATGCCGATCTGAATGGAGAAAAAACTGTCAGCTTCAGACATGA